GCTCTGCTGCTGCTCCAGGTGGGACAGCGCAGAGTGGAGAGCTACAGCGATGGCGTCCTCAGTGGATCTGTTTGCACGATATGCAAACTGGTAGGAGTCCAGGTCCGGCAGGAGATAGTCCTTGATATGCTGGAAGACCAGGCTCTCGAAGCACTTCATGATTACCGGAGTGAGGGCCACAGGACGATAGTCATTTAGGCTGGTGATGGGAGACTTCTTGGGTACCGGGATGATTGTGGCCGATTTCAGACAGGGCGGGATAACTGCTTGGGCCAGGGAGAGGTTGAAGATTCTGGTGAAGATGAAGGTGAGCTGGTGGGCACACGCTCTGAGCACCTTACCCGGAACTCCATCTGGGCCGGCAGCCTTCTTGGGGTTCACTGTTCGGAGCACCCGTCTGACTTCATGCTGGCGAACAGTGAGTGTGGTGGTACAGGAACTGGGTGGGGGTGGGGGCAGGGCAGAGGCTGGTGAGTGTTGCTGTTGTGATGTTTCAAAGCGAGCAAAGAAGCAGTTCAGCTCCTCTGCCAGCGGCACACTCAGGTCTCCTGTTGTTGTAGCACAGCCTCTGTAGTTTGTGATGTCGTGTATGCCCTGCCACACCGCCCGTGTGTTGTTGCTGGACAGATGGGACTCTATCCTCCTCTTATGTTCCGCCTTGGCTTTTCTCACTCCTCTTTTCAGATCCGCTCGAGCAGTCCTATAAAGGGCTCTGTCCCCTGACCTGAAGGCAGCATCTCGGGCTCTGAGGAGTGTGCGGACCTGGCTGGTCACCCAGGGTTTCTGGTTTGGAAAAACCAGAATGTTTTTGTCCACAGTCACATTACTTATACAGAACTTGATGTAGTCCAGTACTGTTCCTGTGAACGTTTCCAGCTCCTGGTGTTCAAATAGGGCCCAGTCTGTCTCAGTGAAGCAGTCCTGTAGTTTGGAGAGTGCGTTATCAGGCCAGGTTGTAATAGTCTTTGTGGTGGGCCTGGCACTGCGTCTGAGGGGGGTGTAGGCTGGGGAGAGCAGGAGGGAAAGGTGGTCTGACTGGCCGAGGTGGGGGAGGGGCATGGCTCGGTATGCGTGCTTAATGTTGGAATAAACATGATCCAAAGTGTTCTCTCCCCTAGTAGAACACTTTACATGTTGATAAAATTTCGGGAGTACAGTCTTCAAGTTGGCCTTATTGAAGTCTCCTGCAATAATGTGGACTCCATCCGGGTGGGCCCGCTGATGTGCGTTGATGGTGTTCAGCAGGAGGGAGAGCGCCATGTATACATTGGCTTGGGGTGGAATATACACGGCCATGACGATCACTACTGTTAGCTCTCTTGGTAGAAAAAAAGGTCGACATCTCACAGACATGTACTCGAGGTCGGGGGAACAGTGTGTGTCTATCACAGTCCCGTTGTTGCAGCAGTTGTTATGCACGTAGATACAGAGCCCCCCTCCTCTGCTCTTACCGGAGTCCTTAGCCCTGTCCCAGCGCAGCAAAGTGCGGCCCGCTACCTGCATGCTAGCGTCGGGTATGTCCGGGTGGAGCCAGGTTTCGGTGATAATCAAAACACAGCAGTCCCGAACATACCGATTTCCAGCAAGTTGTAGTTCCAAGTCGTCCGTTTTATGCACCAAGGATCTGGCATTGGAGAGATACAGGCTCGGCAGAGGTGGCTTGTGTGGTCGTTTCCTTAGCCTTAGCATACCACCGGACCTGCAGCAAGACAATTCACGGAGAGCCCGGTGGTCTCGCTATGTCGTTCTGGATCTTGTGCGTGTGATGAAAGACACTCGTAACAGATATCTGATGCTGGTCCCCGATTTCCAAAAGGTTCTGGCGGGTGTAGTGGATGTTCGTAGAACCGATAGTGCCTGACGCAGCTGTCTCAGTTTTGCAGTGAACCATGGCTTGTCATTAATGAATGTTAGCCGAGTCCAGGTGGGGAACACACAAGTTCTCGCAGAAGCTGATGTAGGATGTCACTGTGTCAGTCAGCTCAACCAAGTTGTCAGTAGCAACTTCAAAGATGCTTCAGTCAGTGCAGTCAAAGCAGGCTTGAAGGTCCTCCTCTACTTCTTTGGTCCATCTCTTCCCTTACAACAGGCTTGGCAAATTTTAGTGTTTGCCTGTAGGCTGGGACGAGATGTATCAAACAGTGATCAGAGAGTCCCACAGCTGCTCTGGGGACTGAGTGATAGGCATCCTTTATGGTGTTGTAACAGTGGTCCAGAATGTTACTATCTCTGGTGGGGCAGGTTATGTGTTGTCTATATTTTGGCAGTTCACATGTTAACTTTGCCTTATTAAAATCCCCAAGAATAATAATGAGAGTTTGGGTGCTGCTGCTCTGTATCAGTCACCTGATCAGCTAGGAGCTGCAGCGCTGCACTGACACAGGCCTGAGGAAGGATGTAAACACTAACTAGAATGAATGAGGAAAACTCCCCCGGAAAAGTTTGCAGTTTATGAAGAGCGCTTCCTAATTAGCACAACAATGCTTCATCATTGTGAAGTCTGTGCACCAACCTTCGTTCACGTAGAAACATAATCTGCCCCCTTTCCTTTTCCCCTTACATTCTGTGCTGCGAAACTGCGACACTCAACCCGAACTTTTAAACCTTCAACAACCTTCAACGTCTGGACCCCGGAAGGATTTGACTCGTTTCCGGAGGGAATATGCCGGCGAGAATGGACAAAGAGGAGGCAACGGCAGCGCTGCAAAAGAAGCCAGAAGCGGGCCAAATGAGCTGGCATCAGAGCTCAGCTAACCACGACTCCACATAAACCAACAGTTCCGAGTGCTCTTCTTGCCAGCGTCCGTTCTCTCATCAACAAGATAGATGAGATTGAACTACAAGATGTCAACAGTCGATTAACAGCTGCATCATGGTGATAATGGAAAGCTGGTTGCATGAAAAAATCCCAGACCTAGCTGTGGAACTAGCAGGCTGCATAATCTTCCGGACAGACCGTACAGCAGACTCGGGTAAGATGAGAGGAGGGGATGTGTGCATCTATACTAACAACAGTTGGTGCATGGACACTACGGTTATCAACAGACACTGAGGGCTTTTTCATCGTATCTGGAGATTTTAATCACACCAATCTAAAGACTGTGTTCCCCAAATTATATACAAATGTGGACATTAAAGCAAGGAACGACAGAACATTACATCAGGTTTACACCAACATTTCTGGAGTCTACAAAGCCCGCCCCTCCCCTCATCTCAGATATTCAGATCATCTATTCCTGTTTCTGACACCAGCTTACAAGCCCCTCATCTGCAGGTCTAAGCTATAGTACAAACCAGTGCAATGCTGGACTGAGGAAGCCGCACTATCCCAACAGGACTGTTTTCAGGACACCATATGGGAGCTCTTTGAGGACCCTGATATTGACATCCATGCTTCCTCTGTACTGTCATACATCAGCTTCTGCATGGACAATGTAACAACAAAGAAACGGATGAAAATATTCCCTAACCAAAAACCGTGGCTTAACTTCAACATCAGTGCTCTACTGCAGGCCAGGGATTCAGCACTGAGGTCAAAGCACAGGGAGGCCTACAGGAGAGCTAGAGCAGACCTGAACAGGGGTATCAAGGGCGCCACAGCAAAGTACAGAAAGAAGACAGAGGCCAATTTCAAGGACGTCAACCTCCACTCCATGTGGAAAGGCATCCAGAACATTACAGACTACAAGCAACACAACATCACAACACCCCGTCTCCCACTGACACTTCTCTCCCAGACCGGCTTAATGCCTTTTTCTCCCGCTTTAAAGAGGACAGCAGACAGGCAGAATAGAATAGAATCAGAGCATGACCAGCCCCCACCCTCTAACAACACCAGGTATTGCGAGTCCTGCGTAGCATCGACACCAGCAAAGCACCAGGACCCGATGGAGTACCAGGGAGGGTGCTGAAATCATGTGCCCTTCAGCTTCCTGCAGTATTCACCAACATCTTTAACTGTTCCCTGCAGCAAACCACAGTCCCAACTGCCTGAAAACTGCCACCAAAATCCCTGTGCCCAAATCATCTGCCATCACAGGGTTGAATGATTGCCGGCCTGTGGCCCTGACAGCGGTGATGTCAAGGCTCATATTCCACCAGGCTTTGACCAACATCAGTCCGCCTACAGGTCAAACAGTGCTACAGATGACGCTAGGGGTGGGCGATATGGCAAAAATATCATCACAATTTTTTTATTATAAAACCCAGATTTTGATTTTATTGCAATCTTACATGTATTTTTGAGACTAAGTGCGGCTAGACCACAGATCACTCACTGCGAAAAACTGGACATTCTGAACTCTTTGTGTTCAATCTTTTCTTGGCATTCAGAGTCGAGACATTGAATGGCAGTGTTGGAGAAGTATTTTCGGCTGGGTAGCTCGTACCATGGGTCAACTACTTTGAGCAGGCATTTGAACCCCTCGTTTTCTAATGTCTTGAACAGAACCATATCTTTTGCAAGATAAAAGGTAACTGCTTCTGTTACCTCTTTCCACTGCTTGCGTGTCTTCTCATACGGAGTGCCTTTAGCAAATGCCTGTGTTAACGTTGTCTGTTTGGCAGAGGTGGGAAGCAACAAGGTACAAATACTTTGTTACTATACTAAAGAAAATTTTGCAGGTATCTGTACTTTACTTGAGTATGAATTGTTCTGAAGACTTTTTGTTTACATCCCTACATCTGAACACAAATATCTGTACTTTCTGCTCCTTACATTCTCAAAACTGGCTTGTTACTTGTTTCAATGTCTGCGGATGACAACATGACGTAAAAGACGTAACAACAAACATCTTTATCTTTCTGAGCAGTGTGCAATTTGTCACTGAAGCTCAACACACCCTTGCCTGCCTCAGCTGCCTGCCAGAGGCTTTTTAGCACTGCAGGACTGAATTTGCGGCACTGCGGTGCATATTTGCAGATCAACTCCTTCGTTTGGCTTTCAGCCATGGCTCTCCATGCAGCTATCGATACACACACACAAACAAGGAGTCAGGTAAGAAAATGCATCACTGTCTGTAGTTCGTGATGATTGGTCCGAAAGGTTGACAACATAATACGTCTGGTGCGTCGGTGCATCAGCATAGAACTGCAATTTATAGAATGTGACCTAAACCAGGGGTTCTCAACTGGTCTCACCCTGGGACCCACAATTTCCCATAGTCATTAAGTCGCTACCCACTTTTTTTTTAGAATTCAATATTCAATATACTTTCCTGTGCATTTAGAGATCAATTGATGTCCCGATTCCAGCACAGCGAACAAATAGTTCGCTATTCGGCTATTTGGGTCCAGCCCTAGTATGAAAATCCACATTTTAAATACTCTGGGTCATATTTGCTCTTTGCCATCTTGCATCTCAACATCAACACAAACTTAAAATGAACATCAAACAAACTATAGTTACCATGCCTGTCAAAATAAAAGTTTTTTCAAAATAAAAAACAAGTCCAACCTGTGACACACATTATATGTTATTTATTTTTGACCAGCAACCATGGCAAAATAACTTAAAAATAACAACAACTTCAGGTTCTTTTCTTTGTTTTACTTTGGTCCAAAATAGTACAAGCACATTCAGAAAATGTACGCATTACAAATAATCCTCTTGACAAAACACTTCAAGTTAGTTGAAAATTCTGAGGAAAAAATTGGTGCAATTTCAAGAACACAATGCCTCAGTGACTGGAACTTAGACTTTGTCTCAGAGTATCTTCAAAGCCATTGAACTGTAAGTCACAGCCTATCTGGGATTGAACAAAATACAAAATAAACAATACATACATAAAACAACTCTTCTAGGTATTAAATACCTCATTTGTCATTTCCACAAATTATCCTGTGCTAACTCAACAAACCATACAAACTGAGGTAGAAACTATTCAAGAGGGTTGATTTACTTCTTGCCTTGTAGGCTACACTATTGATAGAAAAATAAAAGCTGTGCAATGCAACAATTTCAACAAACCAAACTTACAAACTAAAGTGACACAGATTGCAGTAAATCACACACTGTTCACTTTCTTTAAATTTCCACAGAAGACAATCGTTTTCACAGAACTATATCAGGGTGCAGTGAGTCATGCAACATTTTAAGTGGGGTTACCCACTGATTATTTTACTCCTGAAACCTGGCATCTTTTAGCTTTCACAAATGTATCAATATCAGGTGTCACATCCTGAGTGGCAGCCAGTTTCAGGATGTTATTCAAGTGGTGCAGCTTTGTTTTATTGATGCTCATGACAGAGAACAC